CTCTGGCAACCCTGAGCCCATCCATCACAGGGCAGCAGCCAGCCGGAGATGAAGCCAGCGCCCCTTAATCCTGCCCCTGCTGTCCACAGCCACCTGCTTCATTCCTGAATGTCACCTACAGGAGTTTGTGCTTGGGCCCCTGCTTTCATTTTTTATGGGGGAGGGTGGAGACTCAGGGTGAGAAGACAGATGGCTACTGGTGAGTCAGCAATAGCAACTCATCTGTGGGTACCTAACCCCTAGGAGTGGCTTCAGTAAAAGGAGATATGAACACACAGAGAGGACCAAAGAGAAAGATAGGGAGAGATTGGAGGAAGAAAAGAACTGAAAGAAGGAGAGGGATGGCCTTTTCTGGATGCCCTTGACCCTACATCAGTATTGCCCCAGATGCCCCACCACCTGGAAAGAGGTTGGCATGGCAGCTGCCTTCCCCTGCCATCCCTGCTGCCCTGGGGCCAGCTTTCCCGCCTGAAGATCCTTCCACTCCCTGATCTCCCCCCCGGCCCAGGAGAGCAGCCGCTGCCACCTCAACCTTGGCAGCTCGGAGGCTGAGAAGGGACTGGCGGCCAAGATGGAGTCCTGGAAGTTGGGGGTCAGTTCTCTGGCTGCAGCTGATGACCACAGTCCCATGGACTGGCCTCCCCAGTACCAGGGTCACCCCTACAATGTGTTTGGCATCAGAAGATTCTTCCTGCCACACATTTGCAAGCAATCATAATGACCAACAGTGAACCTTGGCACGTACCAGGCCCTGCGCTGCGTGCTGTACTGGCGTGAACTCGAGTCCTCATGACAACTCTGAGTTGAGGACAGTCATCCCGTCTATAGGTGACGAAATGCAACCCCCCACGATGATGCCCCTGCCTTTCAGCACACCTCGTCTTGATGCTCCAGCACAGAACCCTCGGGCCTCCCTGCTGCCCTGCCTCTCCCCAGGGCACACCAGGCTGTCTTATGCCCCTGAGCCTCTGCTTATGCTGTTCCTCTGCCTGGAATACCCTTCCTGCTCCCCAGTTCCCCACATTAGATACTGCCTCGATGTTTAAGATTCCTGTTAGACATCATCCCTTCGACGAAAGCCTTGCCTGACCCCAACTCAATCAGATAATCCTGTGCCTCCTCTGTGCCCCTCAACATACACAGCCTACCAGACCCTGTCCTGTTTCCCTAGAGGGTCTGTGACGAACTCCCAGGTGGGGGCCATGAGTCCCGCAGTACCATGCATGCCCAGGGAAGAATGCAGGCTAGGTGTGAACAAATGGACGAGTGAACATGATCAGCTAACATTACTGAGAGATTATGAAGTGCCAGGCACTGTGCCAAGTGCTTTGGAGGTATCAGCTCACTCGCTTCTCACCACTCCTTCTGAGGAAGGTGCTATTCTTATCTCCCCTCCCCTTTCATAGATGAGGAAACAGAGGCCCAGGTGCATTCCACATCCACCAGGCATCCAGGTAATCAGATTCAGAGCCGCCGCCTTTGCACTGTTACCTGATGGATGATCCTCAGTGGCCCCCTTCCATCGGGGCTGGGCCCCCAGACCTGAGGTTGAGTAGGGAGAAAATTCAGAAGTGCCGCCCCTCCCTGGAGGAGGAAGGCGACTGTCCTGCTGTCCTCTGCTCCATTCAGCTCTCCTGGGCCCTCCCATCTGCTTGTGGACAACCCGACCCAGGAAGAAGAGTAATGTGGAGAAGGGTGTTCGGGCCCAAGGCAAATAGATACAGCATGTCCAGGTGTGCTACGATGCTGCTGCCTCTAGCCAGGCTCTGGCCGTTGGGCATTGGGTTTTGTCGAAGGAGGGGAGTGGAAGCTTGCAGGGAGCCTCCCAACTAAATCCTGCCTGATTCCACTACACAATGTCCCTGAAGACTTCCAATGCCTGACCAGTAAATTCTAACACACTTCTACTGACAAGGAGCTCCCTGCCACTCCAACCCAGGCAAGATCTCGGCAAGCTTCTCCTTCCCTAGCTGAAATTCCCCTCCTTGGGGACACCAAGTGTGGGGGGGTCCACCCTCTGGCAGAGAAACCAACAAGCTCAGCTGGAGGGCATTTCCTCCCAGACAGAACCCATAGATAGAAATCCACCTCCTGTGGCTGCTTCACAATGCCTCCCTTTCTCTCCCTCCTCATGCCCCTCCAGAGCTCTCCAGACATGGGATAATATGCTCTTAACTTTGAAAACCCTCTGCTTGTGCTTTCCAATTCCCTCTGTCCCCAGGGAAGGCAGAGTGGGAAGGACCAGAGAGGTGGAATGATTTCCCCAAAGGCTCACAAGGAAGGGGTGACCTGAAGGACCTTGATCACCTAGTTCCCAGCCCAGAACCACTCAGAGTTCCAGGTGAAATACACTCCCTGGACATCATTCCCCTTCCACCCAAGTGAGGGAGCCGGAAAGATCCCAGTGAGGGAGCAGGAGAGATACAGGGATGCCAGCTCGCCATGGAGAGGGGAAACAGCTGCTGGGAGGTTAACGTCCTGGGAACTGCAAGACCTGTGGCTTCCAGAGAAGGAAAGCATTATCAATGATCCAGAGGTTGCCCTGACTTGCAGCTGCTTTAAGAGCGTGTGTCCTTGGCTTCGGGGCTAGGTCAGAGGGCCATGTGTGTGTATGCACACGATGTGTGTCTGTGAGTGGGTACGCATGCATCGGGGTGTGTGCATGTGTAGGTGTACAAGGAAGAGGACATTTTAAAGGGAATCCCAGAGAAGGGAATGCTTTTTCCCAAGGAAAGGAGCAAGGGTGGGGGAATCTCAGGCAGCAGGTATTCTCAGCTGGGCTGCCTCTGAGGTGAGCAGTTGTGATGGTGGAGTCTGGGGTGCTGAGGGCCAGGCCTGGGCTCTCAAGGGCGGTGAGTGAGGGAGAACCGGGCTGGTGTATCTCACAGGCTCCTACACCCCGAAGATTGTTCCCAAGACCAGCTGGAACCTGGCTACGTCTCGACAAGGCTGAGAGTGGGGACCTTCTGCCATCAGGGAGACCCCCCACCTCTCCCACATAAAGTGGCACCAAGGCTCTGCAGGAGGAAGGCAGGGACGCTAGTGTGGCTGGTGTGGAACGAGCCAAGAGGCTCTCGGGGAGACCCAGGGGCCGTACTGCTTAGGGTTTCATAGGCCACTGTGAGGGGTGGACCCAGGTGTGGGGGGACCCGAAATTCACACAAGTTAGGGGGATGCCCATTTTTTAAAAATCAAAATTACAAATAAAAACTTGATGCAAGGCCTTGGGAGGGGCCCAGGCAGGCGAGGGGTCTGCATGGTAAACCCCCCTTCTGGCCAGGGCAAGAATTTTTGCTCCTGCCTGGGGGTGGGGGGAGCCCCGAGAGGGCACTGAGCAGTGACCTGTCTCAGTTAGCCTTTTAACAGGACTTGTCTGCTGCAGAGTGGAGGATGAACTGGGGGCAGAGGGCGGGTGGTGGCCAGATTTCAAAGACAGAACCGAGATCTGCTGGTGGGTAGGGTGCCAGGTGTGAGAAGAGAGGCAGACAGCGGGCCTGAGGCTTTAGGCCTACCCCAGGTATCTCCAGCTGAGGCGGGGAGGTCAGTCCTTGTGACTGACCTCATTCCATGCGGGTCTCTATCTTACCTCTCACACCGAGGCCCTGAGCCCGAGCTTCCATTCCTCTCCACAACGAAAACGATATACCCAGAGAGGTGGAGTAAACTGCCTAATGTCACACAGCCAGTAAATAGCACAGCCTGGATTCAAACCCGGGCTCTCTCAACTCCCAAGTTCATATCTGCTCTAATATACCAGGAAAAGCAAGGTTTGGAGACCCTAGTAGCACGTCTAGTGCAAAAGGCAGTTCCTGGAGGGGCTGCACATTCCAGAGACCACAGGATCCTGTGGGACCACCCCACAACTACCCCATAAAAGACCTGCAAAGAAAGTTCTCAGTGCTCTACACCACTCTTGCCTGACTCCTTCCTCACCGTTTCTCATCCACTGATGGGGATTTCAGCTGCAATCCTGGGAAAATGCTTTTGGCAATTTCCAAGTTTTCTTAATTCACTGACAAGGTAATGACTGCCTCGATCCACTGCACCCATTTTCTAAAGGAGTTTCTGCATTAGGAGGCAGAGTAGGCTTCTCTGACTTAGAGAAAACCCCGGACTTGATCTCCTGATTTAGCTCCTAAATACAATTCATTGCATTTAAACTGTAGGAATTGATGGTCCCAGATGCATCCACCCAACAGTTTAGTTTTCAAACGAGTCCCCCACCATCACAGTAATCCAGATGATTTGGATGGATATTTTTATTATCATTATGAATTTGAAGGGCCTCGGCTCATTGTTTGGGATGGTCAGTTCCCCTGTAGCTTACCTAGAATGGCTCGTGCCACTCCGCACCCACTCCTCCTTCGGAGCCCTCGAGAAACTGACACCACAGCAGAAGCCCTGACTTGTGACTCTTTCACTGTCTTGAAGTTTGCTCTTTTCAAACCACGTCACTTTGACCTCAAGAACAGCACCGGGCAGGCAAAGTTGAACAGCCCTTGTTCCCTCCAACCCTCCCCCAGCCCTGTGCTTCTGGCAAAACCTGCCAGCAGGAGCGGATATTTGATCTGTCCTAGAGGCTGCAGTGTTACGCTGCCCAGATGTTTCACTCACCAGACAGAAAGCCTCAGGTTACAGCTCAGATGGGCTGTTCCAGCCTACACACCCCATGCCCACCCGCCCCCTCCAAACCCAAGGGACAGGCAGAATCCACGGCCCATGGGGCCAACCGAGGTGGAGTGAGTAGGACCTGCACGGAGCCGGGGGCTCACCAAAATGATTCCTTCAGGGTCTAGGAGGCCTGTGCTCTCAACGCCTTCTAGGGCCATTCAGACTGGATGGTGCGTCCCCCAGTCCTCAGACACCTGCATCTCCTTGCCCCCGAGAACCCACTTTCTTTCCCTGCCAGTAGTTTAAAAAGAGTCTGGATGGAGCCTGGAAGCTCCCCAGCAGAAACAGAACTCACCGCAATCAATGCGACTGGAGTTTCCAGGCCCCCCAAATGTGCCTGATTTCTCCCCAAATATTCTGGAACTGCACTTTGCTGCAAAGAATGGGGAAGAGGGGGACATTACAAAATCAGAACTAAAAAAAAAAAAAAACGAAACATTTTTTTTCCGCCGTCAGAAAAAAGTCAGGCACAAGAGACACACTCTGAAGGAGGGGTGGGGGGTGCAGGCCCCCACCGCGTCCACAGAAACACAACCCAGCCCTCGCCCTTCCTGGTATAAAAGACCCCTCTTATTCCTGGAGTTGCTGAAAACTGTGCACTTGACTTTGTGAAATGTGTGCTGAGATCTAGCCACTGCAGGAAATTTCAGCCCAAAACCAAAACCTTGAACTTTGGATTTAACCCAGCGTCACTGGGAGACTGAGGGACCTCGGGCAGGAGTGCCAGCTGCTGGCTGTCTGACACTGGAGGCCACCAAGATGGCCAGGCCAGAATACGGCACAGAGAATGGTGAGCTCCTGCCGAACACCCTTCTCCCCTTGAAGGAGTGGCCAGAAGCAGATACTGGGCACCCATTCCTAGGGCTGACCTGGAGGGCCCAAGGGATCGTCCAATCCAACCCTCACTTTCAGTCAGGGGACCGGCCTGGAGAGGGGACGGTCACCCCAGTGCTGACTTCTCCCCTCATGGTGAAGCTACCTCCCACCTTAGATGGTCAGGGCTGAAAGGGATCCCTCCAAAGTCACCAACACCCATCCTTCGTGGACGAGGACTCCGGAGATCCCGGAATTCCCCGAGGCATGAAGAAGAGGATGGGCAGCCTTTCAAACTGCTCTCAATGCTGAGAATTGCCAAGAACCCTCATCCTCCAAGGGCAGCAGTTCCCGCCGATCTTCTGTATTTTTAGCAGCAGAAGCCACCCTCCGAACAAAACCTTATGCAGAACTTGAAGCTACGAAACAGATCAGGGGGCCGCCCTGCACGGTAGAGCCTGAGCCAGGCCCCCAACTCCCTTTCCAGCACCTAAGACTCTTTCCCCAGGGCCCTGTGAGGAGCTCAGTCTAAAACCCATGGCCTTGGGGGCTTGCAGCCCTAGAGCTGAAGCAGCTAGATCAGGCGGGCTCTTATTTAAGACGCCTGCAGGGTGTGGCTGGTCTCTGAGACCTGGACAACTTCGTTCTCCACCAGGCCCTGGCCCCCGTCCCCATTGAGCTGTCTCATGCGCAGGTTAATGGAGCCGTATGTCTTCCTGGAGCCCCTGCCGGGGACGAAGGTCGGCCGGCGGTAGAGCTCGCCCTTGCACAGGGAGATCATCAACAGCACCGACAAGAGCATGCCGCCCACTGTGAGCAGCCCCAGGCCCGCGATGATGCACTTGTCCAGGTGGGACCCCAGGCGGGCGTAGTACATCTCCAGCCGCTCCATCTCCCGCGCCGTCACAGAGTCCGGGTTGACGCGGGCCTCACGGGGAATGGCGTACGCTGTCACCACCAGGAGGATCCCACTCACCAGGAAAAGCAGAGCGGAAACGAAGCCATAATCCACCGGGCGGCTCACGGGCTCCAGGCCCGGCCCCTCTTCCGAATGCAGGGACAGATCATCCCGCTGGGACCGAGGCCTGGAGGGGGCACCCCCGGAGGGGCTGGAGGAGCTGCCCGGTCTGATGTCCCCTGGGTTCTGGAAATGGGTCTCATGCTCCTCCGAGGAGAAACAGGCATTGTCCACTCCCTCCCTGGGTGAGGCCCCGAGGCCTACGGGAGCTGGTCTCCTGGGGGTCTGCGGACCGTTGCTCAGTGTCTTCAGTTCCAGCCCAGGGGGGGATGCCATTGGGAAGGAGGGCCCCAGTTCATCCCTTGGCCCCTCGGCAGCTGGAAGAGAAAACAGAAAGTCAGTTGAATGTAGCGAACCTCTCCCAAGGCCCTGCTGGTGATGGACTGCACACTGGGCCCGGAGCGGTGTGCCGACGAGTCAGCCATGGCTCCCACCCGGGGGAGCCCGCCAGACAGAGGGGAGGTGGGGAAGGGCACAAAGACAGCAGTGTGAGCCAGTCCGTGCTGGGACCCTGCTCCGCCAAAGGCGGGCATGTGGCTTTGGGCCATTCACATATCCCCTCTGGGCCTCAGTTTCCCCATCTACTAAATGACACTACTGCTACCACTCCCTCCATAATGGGCTGTTGTAGACACTGAGATGAACTGCATAAAGCACTCATAATAATAAGTGCTCGGGAAGTACCAGCGATGAATTATTATTATGATGGAGGGAACTTAAACACAGTAGGTACCAGGTTCAAGTCCCAGCTTCACCACTTGAGCTGGGGCAAGTGATGTGACCGCTCCCCACGCAATTTTCTTATTTGTGAAATGGGAATAAGCAAAATGCCTCCCTCGTTGGGATGATGGGAACATTTCATAAAACCACGCATGGAAGGCCCTGGCCGATTCAGTTACTGCACACTTGTGACTTAGTGAGGATGACCGTGAGCGGGGAGGGGTCGGGATGGCGGAGGTGGTGTGGGAAGGGAGAGGAGACAGTCAGGGAAGGTTCTGGCAGGTGGCGGCATTTGAACCATACCTGAGACGGTGAGTGGGGACCCAGCAGTAAGAGTGGATGCGGGCATTCTGGACAGGGGGACCAGGTACTGCAGAGGTCACCTGGGACGGGCTCTCAAAGGACTTGACAGCCAGGTTAAGGGCCGGGAGTGCCGGCTGCTGCCTAATCTCCGAGTGCTCTCTCTGGCTGCTGTGCAGAGGCCAGGGGCCCAGGGAGGAAGCTCATGAGGTCAGGGCGACACAGACAGAGACTGAGAGGAAGGAGCATATTTGAGAGCCAGACTGAGGTCAAGTCAAACGCCTCCATGTAGGTAGAAGATGGGGGTGGGCGGAGGAAGGTGAACCTGGATGAGGACTGCAGAAGGGGAGATGGGATGGGAGGGAAGCAATTCATAGCCCATGCGCCCCCTTTGGTTCACAGAAGTCTGTTTGTTTCTGATCTGTTCCTTTGTTTTTGGTTATATGTATATCAAGTATATATAACCAAAATGTAATGCATATATTACACTTTAAGCTTTGCGTTTCTGCCTTCTCTTACAAAATGGAAGCACCTCACTCAGGTGTTCCAGGTGTTCCACGCCAGGCCCCATTCCCTACAACACTCAGCTGGACCTGACGATGGGGTCCTGCCACACGCAGGTGTCCAGTGCTGCCCCCACAGGCCCCACCTCAGCCCCTTCCCTCACTGGCATGTCCAATTCCTAGTCTGGCAGCAGAACCCCTCTGTTCCCCGTACACACCGATGTCCTGGGAGCACAACACACACCCAGGGCCCCAGGCACACAGATCCAAGTCCCACTCTGCGCAGAGAACCCCCAGATGCAGAGTGGCTCACACGCTTTGGCGTGTCTACAAACACACACACAATTCTCCATATTTCTCTACACTCTCATGCCTGAATTTATTTTCGAGTGCATTGTAGTTCCTTGCAGTGTATATGAGTGTATGTGCGAGAGAGAGAGAAAGAATAAGAGTAGATTAATGAAGGGGGAAATGAATGAATGAAATCGAAAGAGCCTCGGCACAGGAAGGCCCGTACTTTGATCTTTCTGATCTTGGTGCCAACACGGACTTGCACTGGACACCTCCTCTTAGCACACACTGGGTCTTTCATCTGAGTACAAAGCCCGTTTCCACTTCCAACCCATTTCCATCACCACATCCCTCTTTCTCGAGTTCCAGTGTAATAAATGTTCACTGAGCACCCACACTCCCTGTTGCACCCAAGACCAGGCACTTCCTCGGGAATATCTCCTAGAACCCTTGCCAGCCCAGAGAGCAGGAATTACTGTCTCCCTTTGACAAAACGTAGCCAGGGTCCCCGGGTGTGCATGTGGGTACACGAAGGTGAACGCAGGTTCCCTAAGGACTGTTACCAACTCCCAGCCTGCAGACCCACCCATTCCTGCACCAGGGGCATTGCTCCACCCTCCCTCCAGCCCTCGCTCTAGATTCTCTACTTTATCCCACTGTTTAAAAGCCACAGAGAGCAGCTTGAGGGGGGGTAGACATGGGAATTCCATCCAGGTCCCCAGCCCCCTGCCTGGGCTGCTCCCACTCCCAGTAAATCAAAGGGAGAACTATGTTGTTTGGCTTTTCTACTTTAGGCACCAAAAGCATTTTCCTGCCCAGTCACTAACAGGGACTGGCAGTGACAGCTCCTGCCCATGGGCGTCCAGATGTGCCCACCCCCCAACCTCACCCCACCCCCAGGTTTGCAGCACTCTCCAGAGAACTCAGCTCCTGGAGTGGCCCAGGAACCCCCTGCCCAGTTCCACACACTGAGCCTCTGTGTTCCAGAGGAAACCAGGGCACCCAAATTCTGACAGCAGGGCTCTCTTTCACCAGCAGGAACCCAGAACTTGTTCCTTAGGATGCCAGAGTAAGGAAGAGGGAAGAGAGAAAGGAGACTCCCCCTCATCCAGGGTTACCTTGTCTCACACACAGGTTCAGACACACCTACAGTTACACAGGCACGCCCAGTCACTTACCCAAAACATAAGGAGACACAGAGTGACAAAGATGCTAAAGTTCACGGCTCACACACTGCGACTGTACCTATGACGCCCCAACTTCACCTGCAGTTCAACAGGACCTGAAAGGCACACCCTTGTTCCACATTGCCTCCCCCCGCCCCGGGGGCCGTTTCCACACGCAGCACCCACAGTCACAGGAAGCCACGCAGCGTGACCTGCAGATTAGTGGGCCACACTGGTACACACACCCAGAAGGGACAGAGTTGGACACACACACACACACACACACACACACACACACACACACACACACACACTTAACTGCCCCTAGGACTGCGAAAATCTAAGCCAGAGCAACCAAGTCCCACCCGGGCCCAGCACCTCACCCACCAGCGCTCACTAACACGCGGAAAGACAGACGCACAGCGGGCGTGGGTGAAGCTTCACAAAACCCCACCGGCAGAAATACGCTCGAGTTGTACACAAAGCCTTGGGGCGCGCCACACGCACACGCAGGTCCACGCTGTTATATCCAAAGTTCCTCGCAGGAAGCGCCAACACCCGGCTGCCCGCCGCACCCGCGCGCCAGCCTGCCCGCCGCTCACACCCCCTGGTTCTGCCCTTGACCACAAATGCGGCCGGGCCGGGTCAGGTTTGACTGGGCCGAGCGACGCCGGCAGCAGGGTGGTCAGGCGGCCCTGAGAGGCCAGGCTCCCCGAGGACCGGCGTGCGCCCCGGTTCCCTCGTCGCGTGTCCTTCGGCCGGGCCGCGAGGTCAGACTAGCTCTCCACGGTAGCCCCTCCCCGCCTCGGGCCTCCGCCTCCCGCCACCCCCGCAGTCCCCTCTCCTCGTGGGTACCTGTGCCGGGCCTCCCTCCCGGCCTCCCCACGCGGGCAGCTCCGCGCCGGGAGGCTGGCGGACGAGAGCGAGGGCGCGTCCTCGCCGGCCCCCACCAGCTTCCCTGCAGCCGGCGCCCGCCCGCCAGTGTCTCCGCTGCGGCGCAGCCCGGGAGGGCACGGGCCCGGCCGCCACCGGCTCTCCTTCCCCAGCTCCCGCCCGCCCCCTTCCCGGCCCAGCGCAGAGCCGCTGCCGAGGCGCACGTACCTGCTCGTGCCGCGCGGGGCTACACGGCGTCGGCCGGGGCCGCTGGGGTGCTCGGGGGAGGAGGGACCAGGGAAGGGGCGGGAGCCGGGGATCGCCTAGCGCCGCGGATCGAGCTCCGCCCGCAGCCGGCGAGGGCGCCCGGAGAGTTAGCGTGGGGAGGGACCGGGAGGGGGGTAACAGACTGGGGTGAGGGTGGGGGGCCATAGCTCCATCCTTCTCCCGCTCTCTTAGGGCTGATCTCCGGGCCAGGGGAACTGAAGCTTCGAGCGCGAGTTGCCGGGGCCCGAGGGCGAGGCGTTGGGGGGTGTGTGCTGAAGACCCCTCCCCCGCTGCTTGCTTGTGTCCACCGCCCGAGAGTCCGGACTGCGCCAAGCTCTGACGCCGCCTGCCCGCCCCAGCCCTTCCCGCTCTCGCCCGACACACAGGGCCCCCAGGTGGGTCCCAGGTCTTTAGGTCCGGACGGTCTTCTTGGACTCGTGAGGTTCCGTGGCTCAAGCGCGCCACCTGAGGGCTGAAAGAAAGCCTTTGACGAACGCCCCCTATTCGCCAGCCCCACTCCCACCTTCTCCTCTGCTCTTCTTTCCCCGTGGGACAGCGAGTGTGCAGCCCGAGAAAGGTGCTCTCTTGGTCCCCTGGAGCCCCGGGCGGTGGGTGTGGGTGAACAGGCGATGAGTAGGGTGACTTTCACTCTGCTTCTTTCCTTTACAGGGCCTGGATCAAGGTGAATCCAGTAAGGTGCCCAGAGCACAAGAGTTAAAGAGACACTCCCTTTTTGGGGCCACGGCCAAGTCCGAAGAGAAGTTTAGTCTGAAGATCATGGGTTCCTGGGAAGACTCCGTGGCCACTGGTGTGGCCTTAGGTAAGTCCTCTTGCTTCTGTGAGCCTCAGTGTTTGCCCCTGCTGATGGGGTCTTGAAAATGCGGGCTCCTATGGCTCTGAGAGGGGGTCAGCCATCTGGAAGGATACGAGGCAGAGGAGGGGCTCTGTCCTGGCACCTCAAGCCACCTTATTGGACCTGCCCTGCTCCAAAGGCCTGGGCAGTCCTCAACCACCAGGAGAACGGAGGTCACTCCGAAGCCACGTGTCTGGCCCTTTCAGGAGACAAAACCCAGGCAGGACCTCCAGGGTTGGGATGGAGTCAGTCTTTCTTCCCTTCCAGAGGCCCGGCCTATTGTTAAGGACTCCGAAGGTGCCACTAGGTGTGGCACAGACTCGGGAGAGTCTCAGTTCTACCACTCACAGCTGTGTGGCCTTGTGCAAAAGGCTCCCCTCTTGGAGCTCAGTCTCCTCATCTGTGGTAAGGGTTATGGGATTAGACGAGACCCTCCTTATGAAGCACTGGCAGTCCCCCCCCCCCCCGTCCCCCACCCGACCCCTCAGTCATGCACAGTCCTGCCTCAGCCACTGCCTGTGCCCTTCCTTCGGCCTGGGACACTCCTCTTCCTGATATCCCCGGAGCTCACTCTCTTACTTCCTTCAGCTCCTCACTAGCTCGGAGACACCTTCCCAAACCATCCTTTTAAAAATAACAGCGCCCAGTCCCCTTTACTCCTTAACTCTGAATTTTCCTCCATAGCACGGATCAACTCCTGACATTAGCTTGTCTTTGTTTATCATTACTCCTACTAAAAATGATTGCAGGGAGGCAGGGGTTTACTCGTTTCCCTCTCTGCTGTGTCCCTGGAGACTAGAAAAGGAGCCAACACATAGAAGGCCCGAGATAACTATTTAATAAATGGAGAATGGAGAAAGTAAGCAAATAGTTATTGAGCACCTACTTTTCCCCCTTTCAATCAGAGTCACCCATAGGCTGTGGTTTATAGCAAATACGTTTTTTTTTCACCTACAGCATAAACCTAGGGAATAAATAAGAATTATAGGTCCACAGTCTCTTGTTAGAGATGACATGATATGTATACTGCAATTTATAGAACACTCCAGTAGGTCCAGAGTAGCATCCCCAAATGAATGGATATTCACAGTAAGTGGGCTAGATAAAGAATATAAGTAGCCTCTCCTCAGTTCAGAAAAGGTATTGCCACAAAATGAGTCTGGAGGAAGAACTTCAAGTGTTCGAGCTTTGGGGGTTGGGAGCTGCGGATGAGGGGGTGTAGGTACATGGAAGAACAGAGCACTTCTGGCTGTCTGAGGTACCCCCAAAGCCTCTCCTGATATGCATTCGACGTGTTTCTTATGGACATCATTTTCTCCTAAGAAAAGCTAGTCCAAAATGAATTACTAGTAACCATTTGAGCTTTCAGAGAAGACGCTGAAAAAGTAGTTGATCATTTCAGGTGTGTATGGATTGTCCAGTAAAACCCCATTGGTTGGTCTATGTGAAGAAATGAAAAGTCTGATTTAGGCAAGGCTGCCCACCCATTTCCTCACTCACTCATTCCTCTGTGTTTGCCACCCCATCCTTTCCTTTGCCCTGTTTATTCAAGCCCCAGCTTGAATTATACCCTTCCTGCCATCTCAGCTCCGGGCATCTCAAACCACACTCATCTTCCCTTCCCTGACTGCCCATTTTACCTTAGATCCCTCTGTGCTAGGTAACATGCCAATCATTGCTTTGTGCACATGTATTTTACAAGCATTGCTTCCCCAGCAAGACCACATCCTCCTTGAAAGAAAGACAGGAACTACATTGTAGACTTCATCTGTGACTTCCATAAGTAAGAGAGGAGAACTTTGTAACATATGAGTTTGGGGGGTCAAGTGAATTTGAGAAATGCTGAATAATTTGTTCCCCTGTTGGGAATTTGCAGTGCATCTTGGCCTCAAAGGCCGTGGGGAGTCTTCCTGTAAAGAAACCTATTTTAGCTTCATCAACCATGCATTTCCCCTTCATGGTTGACCTCAAAGCTCTCCTTTCCACTAGGAATATCCTGCCAGGCTTTTTTTTTTTTTTTTGCTTTGTTTTGTGTTTTTCAATTCATTTAAACTAAAAACAAGAAAGTTCACCCTCTTTCTTCCCACTCCCCTCCTCTGACAATCACCCATATGTTCTCTGTATCTGTGAGCTTGAGTTTATTTATTTATTTATTTATTTATTCCGCATATAGGACAGACTAAATAGCATTCGTACTTCTCCACCTGAGTTATTTCACTTAGCATAATACTCTCCGAGCCCATACGTGTTGTCACCAATGACAAGATTTTATTCTTTTTCATGGCCGAATAATATTCCACTGTGTATAATATGAACAAAATATATCTGTGCCACGATTTCAGTATTCATTCGTCCTTTGATGGACACTGAGGTTGTTTGCATGTCTTGGCTGTTGTAAATGATGCCACAACAAGCACAGCGGTGCAGAGATCTTCCCCAGTTTGTTTTGTTTTCCTCTGCTACACACCCAGGAGTGGAACTGCTGGGGCATGTCGTAGTTCTACTTTTCATTTTTTGAGAAATTTGCATCCTGTTTTCCATGGTGGCTGCATCAGCTTAACATACCCACCAACAGTGACCAACACGGTGCATCCTTACCAACACTTGTCATTCCTGGTCTTTTTGATTATTTTAACGAGTGCGAGGTGATAATCTCAGGGTGGTTTTGATTTGCGTTTCCCTGATGATGACTGATGTAGAGCATCTTTTCACATACGTGTTGGCCATCTGTATGTCCTCTTGGAAACATGTTCATTCTGATCTCCTGCCCACTTTTAAATCAGATTGTTCGGTCATGTATATAATATGTGTATCATATTATTGGCACTCTCCCTCTGCCTTGCTGCAGTTCCTCAGCACCACCCAGGAAAGAGCTTATCCACTCATCTGGAGCCCTGATTATTTTATTTCTTTATTTGTAGAGAGAGTGGGGAAGGGAGGGAGAAAAAGAGGGTGAGAAACATCAATGTGAGAGAGAAACACTGATTGGTTGCCTCTCGTACATTTCTAACCAAGGTGAGGTCACAACCCAGGCCTGTGCCCTGACTGGGAATCGAACTGGTGACAACGCCCAACCAACTGAGCCACACCGGTCAGGGCTGGAGCCCTGATTCTTGCAACTGCCACCTAGGTGGCACCTCCAGATCACCTGGTTCTGGTCCTGCTTCGTCCTCAGAGCAGTGACTAGCCGCTGATCAGTGAGAGTGAAGGGTTAAAATCTTTCCCTCTTTTGTGTGAGAATTATACCTTCAGTTAACTGTCTAGCACTGTTTCCTTGGAAACAGATAAACATGTGTCCACTATGTTACTAGGCAACATTGCTGTGGTAAAAATGACCCCTAAGGAGGAGACTAGAACGATCCATGTGCTGATGGGCTAGAACTGGAGATATTAGCATGAACTCGTGCTTAGCTTACTACAGATGCAGATGACTCCATATAAAAATATTTATGGTACATACACTCAGGTTAGGACACATGCATAATAATGTCCTTTCTCTGTCAGGAAAGAGGTGCTAGAAGCAATGGTACTGCCTGACAGTGAGCACACCAAGTACCCAGATCTTGGTTTCTAATACCATTCTCCAGTAAACAGAACCACAGGGAAATGGCTGATTCTAGGACTGGGGCAGGGCATATACTAGATGAGCCTGGAGCATCACATAGCGCCAGAAAGTAAGGAAGTGCTTTAGTAACCAAACACACCACACACACCCCCAGGTTGAGGTGTGTCCGAGGGCATAGGGGCCAACTGAAAGAGCTCCCAGTGGCCAAACCTGGAAAACTTCTACCAACAAACTAAATAAAGGAATATTGGGTCATAATCTACAGTATGATAAGTGAAAAAGAAATGGGGAGAAAAGATAAATCTCCCATGCAGAATTCCAAATATGTAGATACTCCATCCTCAAGGAGCAGAAACGTAACCCCCAGTTTTTAACTGCGGGCTGAGCATAGCGCCCTCTAGAGGGTACAGCATGAAAGGGAGCTGGGATAGGGGGTGGGCAGGGGAACTTGCCGAGGAGAAACCTGACAAACCTGGTTACCTTAGGCGGGTGATCAAGGTCAACGTCAACAGTCAAATCCTGTCCATAGTCTGCACCCTGGATATGATGTGATATGAATGGCACTTTCCCCCTGGGTCTTCCTCCCCAAACCCGTATCG